AGCACGCAGGTCTTCCCCACACCCGAGTCGCCGATCAGCAGCAGCTTGAACAGCAAGTCGTACGTCTTTTTCGCCATTGAAAAATAAGTATGTGTTCACCCAGATACAAAAAGAAACAAAGAAAAAACTAGCACGGCTACGAGAGGTCTAATTCCAGCTCCGTGGCCAACTTGACCAACCCGCTCCAGCCCTCCTGGCTGTTAACAGTTAACAATCTGGGATTTGTTGATTAGCTTTGGCGAGCTAGTAGTAGGCTAAAATATCACCCAAATAAGGAGCCCACAGACGTGTCCAAGAAGTTGATATATCCCAAACTGTTTCTTCTCTTACATGAGAACAAAAAGCAAAAAAAAAAAAATGGTATCTCCTCCCGTGTGATTCCTCTTTTCCACTCTCTTTTCTCCCACACAGTCGGGACAAAATGGCTTCTCGCTACGTCTCTGCCCCAACTCACTCTTTCTTCAAACTAACTGCGAGCTAATTCAAATTCTCCGCACACGCCGTCATTCCAGAGCCCCGCCGAGAGCTCGACTGAGAAGAGCTGGGAATAAACCAAACATGAAAGTGAATTAAATTCACTGTCTGCTAGGTGTAATTTAGCTTTTCCGATGAGATTAGAGCAGAAATACAGACGACCGCCGTCGCCTTCGAATAGGAGCCACAGTGGCGACTCCCTGGACCAATGGACACGCCTTCTCCCACTCTTTCTGTCAAAATATAAGCTTTTGATTGGTTACTGAATCTGCCGCTTAGTGGTATAACTTACTGTGATTGGTTGAAACGGTAAAAGCTCAACGAGTCAAGGGGCGTGCTTTAAGCGCGACCGATAGGCCAAATGTTACTGCGTGAGTCACCCGGACATTACGGTGCAGAAGTCCCTTCGCCTCCCAGTGTGAAAACCGCCTATAGAGCCAACATGGGCGCCAGTTTCATGCGGATCTCTGGCCGCTCGGGTGTGTTTTCATGGCAAGTTGGCACTTGATGAGGTGACCACCCCAGCTGTGAGTCAGGCAAAGTGATGTCATATAAGTACTTCGGTGCTTTTTTACGGGCGTTTCCCACGATGAACCTTTGGGGTCACTTAAAAAAATTGATTTTATTTTACAATTGAATATTATGACTGAGGTGGAAGATTTCGCTTCAGAACAAGTTATGCCGATCTCTCTTTTCCGCGTTGAAAGTTAAAGAATAGTTCGTAAAAAGTTGTCTAAACAATTTTAATCTCATATTGTGGTCTCAAACTTATGCACCAGTGAAAGCTTATGAATCTATTATTATGATAAAACTTAATATCAGAATCAGCCTTGTTGACCAAGGAATTTGATTTTGGTTCTTTTGCTCAATAAAGATGCATATGTAAATTTGGTAATAAATTAAAAATAATTTGTTTGAATAAGATATGTAAAAATACACATTAAATAAAAAAAAGTTGAACTTAAATTAGTGCAAATGAAGGTAACATTGATTTGAGTGTTCATTATGAAGTAAACTGTCTCCTTGATGGCTCTTCTTTTTTCTTTTTTTTTTTGCAAATACCATCAACTCAGTGGTAAAAGTCTGGATAATTTAGGTTCAGGATGTGTGGGGTCTGCAGTATTTTGTAATTCTCTATTCATCACTGGCAATGCTGACCATGCTTTGTTTCCCATGCGTCCTTTGCTCTTTCATTGGTATTTAACATGAAACACCAACACAAAGCAACATATTTTTGTGAAGATAAAGGATAACATAAAGCCTTGAGTCTTGCCATTTATTCTCATTTGGATTTGGACCTGGTCATAGCTCTCGCTGTATTCCATTGGATTCCATTGGATTCCATTGTAAAATGATGGATTAAACATCATGTGGAAGAATGTAGCACTTGAAATGTTTTTCATAACCTAATCCTTCTGTAAACGTCTCCACCATTGAAATTAAAATGTATGGTTATATGTAGTAAAATGACAAAATGTGAAAATTTGAACCTTCAAGGCATTGTCTCCTAAGAGGAAGCGTTAATGTACACACCAGTGATGCAAGGGATTTTAGTGTTAACTTCATCTGGCGCTGTCTGAGAGACTTTTCTTCCGCCTGTCAGGATAGTTTGACTCAAGCCCTCTTAGGAATGCTCAGTATGACCAGATTCTTACTCCCAAGTACAGACTTGACGCAAACTGAGGAAGGAAGAAGCACATAAATAAAGAAAGAAGAAAATGAAGCAGTTAAACAAGACTGAGTAGATTGAGTCCACCCTGGAAGCCCTGTGTTGTAAAAGAACATGAAAAGAAAACCACACAATGAATAGAAAACCTTGAGTAAACAGCTAAAATGTAACCTAAATGTGTTGCTGTATTGAAAGCTACACAATCAGATCTAAAAAAAAAAAAAAAACAAGAAAAAGAAAACTTGTTTTTATGGTATTCAGGGAAGTAAAATCCAGGACATTATGACTTTATACTGTGAGAGATCTTTGCAATGTTTCTTTGGATTGGCACTCAGCCAAGGCAAGGTTTCCCAAGCCATGGCAAGCGGAAACAGGAAGTGAATTTTATGAATGATGAAATCCCCATAACACACATAAAACTAGAGAACATTAGGTGAAATGCACTAAAGTTCTGAAGAAACTAAAAGGTACTTGCAGTTTAATATTCCAACTAGAGGTTAAAAGGTTAAATTGGTATTTTTAGCACCACGTTAGACAATCTCTATTAGGGGGAAACACCGTTCCCACCACAGGACACGTCTTCGGTCCAGTAGCATTCAGAAGTTATTTAAAACATGGCCTGGTCAACATGTAGTTTGGAACTTTTGTTGAATGAACTGCATGTCTTTTTGTGCTTTGTGACTGTATGAATCTTGAGCTTTAAATTTATAAATTTGACATACAGACCAAATATGCAGCATTTTATAGATCCCCATTAAGTTCTGACCAAATTAAATAAATTTTCTTTTTCACAATTTATCAAATCAAAGATAATTTGTCACCTAAATTTCTGCATCACATTATCACATCATCCTCCACAGCTGTGCAACCTTTTGTTACAGTAATAAGTCATGCATTTGCACAGAAGTGTTTTTTTTTTCAGACTGAGATACATTCCTGAATTTTTTTTGCTGCAAGGGGCCCCCAGGATTCATCTCGCACTCCCACAGCTAGTCAGAGACTACCTCTCACATTTCTTCAAGCTTTGGCAAAGACAAGCAGAGAAGTCTATCTTTACATGCACCTATTTTGCAAGCAAGCATCTAGTGTTTGAAAGTGAGTTGGACTGCATTTGGTTTTTATTTGACAACTCAGAAAGTGGGAAAGTTGGAAGAGTAGGAGGGCTGAAAGGGGTGTTACCAAGCAGCAGTGTGTGCTATGCATATGAATTGGCTCTTTCCCTAAACTCTATTTGGTTTAAAGAAAACCCTTTCAACATTTTTTCCCTATTGGAGCTTATTGGATTAACACAAAGTGCTATACTCTTGAATTCTGCCAATAAAGATCTGATTATTTTTGGGATTTTTGTTGATTGTAGGCTAATCATTATGCTTTTTCAGTTACAAAATGTGAGCTTTTTAACTTAGATTAAGCAAAAGTATTATCATTTGAGTCAAAAAGTAAGTATTTATCAGAAAATGATCACATAAACATTTAGGGGAACACCTGAATGTTCCCCTACACTGAACTACACTGAAAGTACAGGTAATTTTCCATTGTTTGCCCAAAAAATTACAAATTCTACACTCTGATTTGTAAATGAAGCACACATTTGTGGTGAAAAGGAACAGAGTCATTTCAAAATATCAAAGTTTTGCCAAAACTCTTGTGAGCTGTGATGAATTCCCCACGTGGCTGAAACTTTCCACTCTGATTAGAGAAACCACGTCAGTGCAGATCATTGCAGAATCACTCGTTCATAACACATAGATTGTAAACTCAAAAATATTCAAGGTCACCTTGAAAATTACTTTCCGAGCTTGTGCCCTCTAAAAGGCGAAATAGACCATTTGTAGGTCAAATAAAGTCACCATTCTGCATTTACTTCACTAGAGGGCGCTGTTGTACCAAATTTGGCAAAGCTGGGAAAACAGTTTCACTTTTTATTTTGGGTTTTGATTTCATACTAATTGGAGAAAAGAACATTGTAATATTTCAGAAGTCAGTGTCATTATGAATAACAAAAAACACAACTTTAAAATTTTAAAATAAAAATTTTCCACGCATGACTCATCGGTTTCTGTTGAAAGTCAGTAGTGGTTGTTAAAAATCCCCCACTGGGGGAATGTTTATTCATTTTGATAGTAATTCAGAGAATACCCTTTTCAACTTACCCAAATATCCACGTTTTATAAACTTTGATGAATAGTTTTTCAGGTGTGCAGACATCAGTTTGTCGCATCAACCCAATTAAGTGGAAAATTATGCCCAGCTTTTGAACAAAAAATGGCAAAATTAGGTCAAATTTGAAAGAATTTGTTCTCGTTTATAAGGACATCGTGTGTGTTCATAAGTTACATAATTTTTTATGAAATTTTAAGCTGAAATTCAGCTTTCTAGTTGTAGGTTTTAAACTCTTTAAAAATAAATACCACCACAGCTGTTTTTACTAATTATTAACAGTAACGCTGATTTTGATTCATTTTCATTTTCCTTTCTTTCCTTCTTTCTTTTTTCATTCTTTCCTTCTTTCTCTCTTTTTGAAATAGTTTGAGTAAAATATCTGTGATACTTATTTTCATATCATCTATTCCTCTAAATAGTTTATATTGTTTGATAATGAATAAACTTCACCGTTTAAAGTTGAAATTACTTCATTGTGCATATTTGTATCATTTAAAATGAAATAATAGTTGTGTTTTTATTATTTCATTAAAAAAATTTTAAATATAAATTTCTAGTTAATACAAAATATCCTTTAAAATAATTGACTGCAGTTCCTTTTGCAGAGTTGGTGGCAGGCTTGGACAACAATCCACTGGTGATTGGGACTAAACTCCATTTCCCACGATCCTCTGTTTCACGCTGCAGTGATGTTGGGTGTGGTGGTTGAATGGATGTGTGTGAATGCGCGTGTGTGAGAGATTTTTCTCTCTCTCTCATGACTGAGAGCTGCAGATCCGCTTCACAGCATCTTTCAGCGGGCGGACTGGAAGATGCGCAGGTCGGCATGTCGCGCTGCTCCCGGATCTCCGCAGTCATGACGGCCGGAGGAAGATGGGTGAACTGACTTGTGTCATTCCTGGCGTTGTTGGGTTTGTTTTTTCTTTCCACCGAGTGAATCTGAACGTGCTGCGGGACTGAAATGGACCGTGAAAGACACTGAGCGACAGTTTGTGTTTGAGGGCTAAAATTGGACAATAAGCAAAGGGAATCAGAAAGAGGGGGGTCTCACAATTTGCAATGGTAATTTTTCTGTCTCTATTTTTAGCCACAATTTCTTTTCTCCATTGTGACATGACCACGAAGCCATATTGAAGGCCTTTTTCATGATTTTTCATGGACAATTGCTGTATTCTCTAATTTGGAATATATTGACCTAATTCCAAGAAGCCAATCATGTCTAAAAATAAGAGCAGTGAGTCAGTGAAGGTGGTAGTTCGGTGCCGTCCGTTGAGCCGGAAAGAGGAATCCAATGGACCTGCTGGGGGGATTGTGCAGATGGATCTACGGCTCGGACAGGTGATCCTCAGAAACCCCCGGGCGCCACCAAGCGAGCCCCAAAAAACATTTACATTTGATGCAGTATATGATTCAAGCTCCAAACAGAGAGACCTGTACGACGAAAGCGTCCGTCCACTGATAGATTCGGTTCTTGCAGGCTTCAATGGCACCATCTTTGCCTACGGGCAGACCGGAACTGGAAAGACCTACACCATGCAGGGATTGTGGCTGGACCCAGAGAAGCAAGGTGTGATCCCTAACGCTTTTGACCACATCTTCACACACATTTCCCGCTCACAGTCCGACAAGCAGTATCTGGTGCGGGCGTCCTACCTTGAGATCTACCTAGAGGAGATCCGTGACCTCCTTGATCCCAACCACAGCAACACCAGAGGACTTGAGCTCAGAGAGAGTCCGGAGACAGGCGTTTATGTTCAAGATCTCACATCTTGCGTGTGCAAAAGTATCAAGGAGATTGAGGAGGTAATGAATGTGGGCAATCAGGCCAGGGCAGTTGGAGCAACGGACATGAACGAACATTCATCAAGGTCCCATGCCTTGTTTCTGATCACTGTGGAATGCAGTCAGCCTGGACCGGATGGGAGGAAACATATTAGAGTGGGACGCCTTAATTTGGTGGACCTGGCTGGCAGTGAGCGGCAAGCTAAGACAGGAGTCCAGGGTGACCGCCTTAAGGAAGCCGCTAAGATCAACCTATCTCTATCAGCTCTGGGGAATGTCATCTCAGCTTTGGCCGATGGACGTAGCAGCCACGTGCCGTACCGGGACTCCAAGCTGACCCGGCTGTTGCAGGACTCTTTGGGTGGCAATGCCAAGACGGTCATGGTTGCAACTCTTGGCCCAGCTCCCCAGCATTACGATGAGACTCTCACCACCCTTCGTTATGCCAATCGTGCAAAGAACATCCAGAACCAGCCCCGGGTCAACGAGGACCCCAAAGATGCTCTTCTCCGTGAGTTCCAGAAGGAGATCGCTCGTCTCAGGGCGCAGCTCAACCACAGGAGGTTTAGGACCAAACAGAAGAAGGAGCAGGTAGATGGAGAGGCTTGGGAAAGAGATGGGGATGAAGAGGAGGAGGAGGTTGAGGAAGAAGAGGTGGAAAAAGAAGCAGAAGAATTTGTGAAGCTGGAGGAACAAAGATTGGAGTTGGAGAATGAAGCCATTAGAGAGGATCAATTCCTGTTGGCAGAGGAGAAGCAGAAGCTCCTGGGGGAGAACGAGAAGATGATGGGGGATCTGAGGAAGAGGCAGGAAGCCACCGAACAGCTGACTGCCAGATATAAGGTGAGTCTCACGAGGAAAAGTTATTGTTCTCTCTATCCAATAACTGATACAAGCCTATCTTATTCTAGTATTACATTTCAGCTCTTCACAATCTCAGGCATTTACCTTTCAATAAAATATCGGCACTCTAAGTTAGATTTCTGGGGTATTTTGGTGTTTTTAACATAAGATTTGGTTCAATTGGAGCCAAAATTGCATATTATGTTACATTTTCAGCTGGTGCGTTTCACTTCCATTTGGCTCAGTATCAAACAAACCAGATCATTTGAAAAACCTGTTCCCCTCAAACACCTGTGGGGGCACTGCATCAAGAAAATGACACAAAAACCTCAGAAACATGTCCTTCTTCACAAAACATAAATAAAAATGGAGTAGCTTCAGATTTTAGTGGGTTGCAGAAATTCTCTTTTGTTTTTGGTGAAAAACCACCAACCATTTAGCCCACTGGTGTTAGACTCTCGTATTTGTTTTGGTTGTATTTACCCAGCACACCCTGCGCCATAGTCTGCTTCTGGCATTCCTGCATATGTGATCTCTATCTCTTGGCATGTATTTTGGACCAGAGTTCACTTCAACTGAACCGAAACTTAGGTTTTAAGGCAAAGATTTAGCTTTTTCTGGTCCTCATCAGAGTTCAACATCACCAAACAAACCAGACTTTCTAAACAAACAAACTGGAGTCTGATTAATGCAGATTAAACAGGGCTGGTGTGAATGCACCCTATATTTTTCAATCTGGACTTGTGAAGTTGTTTGTATTTTAAGAAGGAACCTCTTTCTCTGCTAAATTCAGACACAGGTGACAAGCACACATCAATCAAAGACTGAGCTAGAGCTGCATTAATCACTGATTCATGGGACATATCCGGTCAATAAGTCACTGGTGCAGAATGACTGAGTCAATGAGCTCTATAATCCTGTAGCTGCAGCCTCGGCTGCCCAAGATGAGTCTCTGCTGGATCAGCTAATTGGAGAGGATGAAAGGATGAAAGAAAGGGGGGATTTTTTTTCTTCCTTCCTTCTGGATTTTTCACATAATGTTGATCAATTTACGGTTAAATGCCAAGTAATGGTTTGTTAGATCAAAAATTACGACAATTTAGACTTCCTTTTAGTGTTGTAATTTGGCCTCCATCCAGCGGAGGGCGCTCCTGGTCATCCTCAAGCGCAGCCGTTGATACAAGAACCAAGATGGCGGAGTCGTATTTTAAAAGAAATGGTCCAGAGTCTGATGTGGGATTCGAAATGCTTTTTATGCGGTTCTGATTTTAAAATATAAACAATCGATGTAGAAATATTGGCTAATTATCAGGTGTTCTCACGTTTTCTTTAGTTCCAGATAGATTTCCATAACCTAGAGATGATTTTGATGCTTTTAGCATTGTGCTAACTAGCTGAGTGCTAGACATTGGTTTCTTATAGCCTTTAAAAGGCTAAAGTTATTACCAATGTTTCAAAAGGTGACGTCACTAAATAGGATCCTTGTTTAACAGAATTGATCAAATAATATTTCCTTTATATCGTTATGTCCTTTGTTTTATTATCATCATTTTATCAATGCCTGTTTGAAAGTGAGGGTCTAAATCCTGATCTTGTGCTACTATCATTCATTTCTGCTCACATTTCTTCCTGTCACATTATTCCTCAGAGGTCGTTGGGGTTAATAGGTTTTAGTGCTAATTTGTTTAAACTCTTCAGAGGCACAGTGTGCATGATTCACCGGCCAGCTGCTGAGCGATGACAATCAGAACTGATTAAGGGGAAGAAGTATTTCCTGTCTTTTTTCCTTTGGTTAGTTTAAGGAAACACGCAAGTTCAATCATTTAACATGAAAAATAACCGATTTTAATCTGGGTGAAGATTTTCCTCATGTGTCAGGAAAAGGTCTTTATCAGGAACCAAACATGCCGGCTTTTTTTGGTAAACATTCAAATATATTGTTTGGGTTGGGTTTTCTAACAAAAAGTTATTTTTTCCCATCCTTTTTGACCAATGGGTCACAGGTTGGTTTGACTTTAGGTCAAGAATAACCAATTAGAGATGAGATCGGATTGTAATGTGTCCTTCAGAAACACATTCTGCTCACAACAAACATGTAGGTCAGAAACTGTGAAGCTCTGTTGGCTCAGCTGGTGTGTCCATCTGTCTGCTTCAGTACTTTACGTTGTTGGGCTGGAGGTGTCATCAGGCAAAGTAGATAATCTCCCTTTCACCGTTCAAGAGGTTTAGACCTGATCATTTGATTTCATACATATTTCCTCTTTTATTAGTTTCTCTCTTGCAGAGTTTGGAGGAACAGCCAAAAATTGTATTCAAGTAAAATATTTCATCACGTTTACTCAACTACTGAGTAACTGATCATATCAATCATTTAGTATTTAAAAATTACATAATCAGACTCAACAAATTATAAAGTTAAGTGGAAATGTTGGTATTTTAAAAACAAAAATTATCATTTTTACTGTTAGACATAAAAGAAATAAAAATAAAAAAAAATTAGACCTAAATAATTTTTCCAAATCATTTTGTTTCAGTAAAAACTTATAAAACTTTTAAGAAAAACTGCAAGTGAATTTTTACTTTAATCATGTTTGTTTTCCAATTGGTAAAAAATACATAAAATTACTCAAGTAAAAGTAAAAAAAAAATACAGAGTGATCCAAAATACTCCTAAAAGTTTTTTTTTCTTTTTTCAAAAAAGTTACTCTAGTAAATGTAATTGAGTAAAAGTAACTAGTTACTACCCAACTGGTGTCTTGATTCTTGATGCTTCGTCATATTTTTGTGGCTCGTTCTTGTTCTGTTCACATTAACTTTTCATGCTGTCATATTTCGCTTTGTGCAGCAAATTTATAAAATGAGAAAAACTTTGAGCTTCCAGAAGCCGCTGAGCTCAAGCTGCACCGATTTGTTTCATGAATTATTCATGCAGATCAAGTCAAGTTTACTTGAACAGCACATTTCAGCAACAGCTCAAAGTGCCTCACAACATAAAATTATTATTATCACATCATTCTTCAGCTAAATACTATCATCCACTCAATCAAAGGTGGTTGATTTAAATGAGCTCAGTGTTTCGGCTGTTTTTAAGTTTTCTGGACGTTTGTTCCAGATTTGTGGTGCATAGAAGCTGAATGCATGGATGAGTTTCTCTAGCTCTTGCTAAGACTTCAGTCTTTTAATCCTGGAAATGTCCTTCAAGTGATAGAAGACCGACTTTGTAACTGTCTTTATGTCTCTGATGCTTCAAATTGCGAATCTTTAAAACCCCACTCAGATTTCCTTTTTGTAAAACTTTGCAGTTTTCCTTTTGCCAAGCGGTTATACATTACTTTGTGATTGTCTTTGATAAACAATCCAATTCAAATAGGTTAAACAAAATGTTAAAAATGATTAAAATTCTTTTGAAAGATGAGTTTGCTGAAAAACAGTCAAACATCTTAATCTTTCAATCAATCCTGTTTTCAGAAGAAATAGAAAGAAAGAAAAGGAGACAAAATGTAAAATATTCTTCTAGTGATAGAAGGCTGATTTTGTAATTGTCTTTATGTGTGTCTGAAGGTTCAGATCTGAGTCCATTAACTAAACCATTTGAGCCTCATCATTAGTTTCTGAACTGAATTTTTCCTGATTTTCTGTTTATTTTTTAATAGTTTAATTGTATGATTTTGCATATTTAGGGTTTTCTAGCCTCATTAATAATCCTAATTTCTTTGGTCTGAATTTAACTGTTAAATCAGCATTTAATACTCAGTGACACAGTGGCACGTCAGTGCAGCTGCTGTTCGCAGCTTCAGGCTCCTGTGAATGACTCTTCAGCGAACTATTCTTAGATCCACTTTCTGGGTCAGAACTGCGAGCATCTCTTTGCTTTCTCCCCAGTTCCTCTCATTAGCGACTGTTTCTTCCTTCTGCTTTGTAAATTAATGATGTTGTAGAAAATCAGTCCATTATTGTTGCAGGAGTCACCTCCTGCTAATTCAAATCTCTGGAGCCTTCATACTCTCAAATGTCAGGATAAATGGCAATAAGAAAGATATTTCTGGAATAATGTATTAAAACATTAATTTAGAGATGAAACGATTAATCAGATTAATCATGGTGAATCAATTATTGAAATAATCAACTAATTTAGTAATTGATTCATCACTAACTAGAGTATACAGACTCAAAAGTAGTATTTGATAAAAACTCAGTAAAGTTCATTAAGCCAAAGGTTTACAAAAAATGTAACATTTTACATTTAAAATAAAAAGCCTTCTACGTCTGTAAATATATTCTACTCAGAACTTTGTAAGTCGTAGTTTTAGCTTTACTTGGTTCAAATTCTTTTTTATTTGCATTTTTATTCATTCCAATATTGTATCAAAAAGATATAAGTGGTTAAATAGGAAATCTGCCAATGTTTTATACGATTAATCATAAGAATAACTGATTACTAAAATAATTGTTAGTTGCAGTTCGCAAGTTGTCTTTTTACATTTGTTTTTGTCAAATTAGCCTTTTAAATTTTATAAGTTTGACATGCCAAAAGTATGTTACTGCCACCAAAAGTCCAGCTTGTTTTTAGAAATCCAGAGAATTACTTTTGTCTCTGATAAAGTGAACATAATGAAATAAATCTAAAAATAAAAACTCTTTGGCAAACAGTCTAGATGAAGGCGGTGTTGGGAAACATTGAGCTTTTTCATGTTTTTTAACATTTTACTCCAAACAGAAGCAAAATATTAAATATTAAAATAGTTGTGCTGATAGTTTCCAATTTCATATGTTTTTCACATGAACTCGTTCTCCAGTTTGTGTTTTGCTGTTGAAGGAAATCAGTTTTGACCCGACATTAAGTTCCTGCACCCTGCAGAACCAACAACAATGACGATGACATCATGGGATTTACCATGAGCAAACCACATGACTCAAGCTATTGTGATTTTACGAGAAAGACCAACATGAGGCGATGCATAATTGTGAAAGTAAATAAAGCAGCACAGTAAGTACTGAGTTAGTAGATTCTAGCTGTGTGTAATTTAATTTCTATATAAATGTGTGCAGTTCTGTGAAGGTTTCAGAGGATTCTTATAGAACATCAGTGAACAAAAATCACCATGAATACTAATGAGCATGTTAGGCAGGCTGTTTCTAGAAATGTTAAAAATAACATTTTGAGACATTTTATGTTTTCATTGCTTCCAAAAACATCCCAAGAGATTAAGAAACACCCAGATATTTGTTAGCAAGAAGTTAATGGTTTTTGATGCCTGAAAAATTAGCCATTTTATAAACCCTCAATGGCTAGGTCAGTCAGTGTGTACTGTGGCGTTACCTACCAACCCAAGCAGAGCCCCAGCTTTGTTTGAGCAGCACGTTTTACTGCTGTACAATGGCTGCTGGAAAAGACAAGTGTTTTGTTGTTGACTTACCATCCAGAAACCAGATGCTTAATTCTTGTTGGGTGTGCAGGAGGCTCCGCTTCTGCTTTTCGAAGATGTACAGTTCACTAAATAAGAGTGTGTATGTTGAGTTAAGGTGGAAGTGGTCAGAAAATCAGCTCATCCTGTAAGGAGCTCGAAATATCAAGAACTGACCAGACTGAAATCTCGCTATCTAAGAATCAGTTTGAACAAAAAAAAAGCAAAATATAACTTGTGAACTCTCCTTTACCTTTTTTGTTTGTATAAACGCGAGCTTTGCAACTGATTAACCGTTTTCTAACAGTTAACATACAGTGCAAACACACAGTCACACGCACAGCTGGATAGAGCAGCGGCGTTTCCTGTTTATCCGGCTGACTTCCTGTGAAATTGGAGCGAGAAGAAGGACGGAGACATGGCGGCCTGAATCTGAAGGTTACAGAGTGGGGGAGGCTGATAACGCAGCTCATCTCTCCTCTCCATTTCTCCACATGCAGGCCTGCGTACGCTGAAATATTGATGAATCCACTGTGTGTGTGTAGATGAAATCAGTTAACCCATGTGTTCACTTCATACTAGCAGGACAAGAAACATGCAGAGATAAAATATTGAAAGCATGTTTGTTTTACATGGCACGCAGTCCGAGACGTTTGGTTCTGCAATCTTACATCAAATGATATCTAGTTTTTGTATCAAATACAATTTTAATAATTATTTTATTAGTAAATTTTCCTGAAAGAAAGAAGAAAACCTTAAAAAACAATTTTTTCATGTTGGCATTTTTATCAAATTACTGTTTCCTTTTCCTAATATTAAGACTTTATTCAACATTAAGACATTATTCTCATATTATTTTGACTTTATTCTTGTAATGTTATTACCGTTATAAAAAACCAAAAAACTATTTTATTGTTTTGACTTGAGTTTAAAGTCCAAATAAAAAAAACAAACAATATCGTCACTTTGAAATATGAAAATCTGAGGAGTGAATTAGTGAAAATGATTTTTCAAATCATGATTTGTTTTAACAAATCAAATTAAAGCCTCTTTAATTTGAGGCTTTAATTTTAAGTGGTTCAGCGTCGATGAGGACAAACATGAAGCTGATTCTCTGAAATATCCACCTCATTTCTTCTCTTTCTGCATTTATATCAGTCAAATCAATCGATCAGATTTTTTTTTCTATAGCACATTTCAGCAACAAAGTAGTTCAAAGAGCTTTAAATCGTAAAAACAACAAAAATCAACAATTGAAACATTACATTTTTCCGAATGTTGTCATTATTATTTTATATATTGTGGTACAAAAGCAGCTCTGAACTGGTGGGTTTCCAGTATTGATTTAAAGGAGCTCAGTGTTTCAGCTGCTTAACAGTTTTCTGGGAGTTTGGTCCAGATATGGGGCGCACAGCCGCTGAAAGCTGCTTCTCCATGTTTGGTTCTGGTTCTGAAAGTGCTCCTTCTTTGTTCCTTCGCCCTCCATCGTCTGTGTCGGAGACCTGTTGTCGTCACATGATATTTATAGCCTGATCGCTCCAGGCGGGATCCAACCTCGCTGGGGCTGGGCGGCTTGATGCGCCAGCTTCATATGCATCGCTTCCCTTCCTCTTCACTTTCCTCCTCCAGGAAATGGATCGGTTTCAGCTAAAGTGTTCACTTTAGTGCAGATTATATGTCCACAAACAAGTCGACTGTCTCTGCTGGTTTTCGTACTTTCGGTAAAGTGAAACGCCTTTTCTTCCTCTCAGTCGCCTAAACATTCATCAACTAGGAATCTGTAGCAACTAATTCTATTTATTAACAAATTAATGTAATAAATACAACAGGTTTGACATATTCTGTCCACTTTGATTCCTTGTCTTTTATCTCGGCTTCTTAAATGATCCATTAATTCGTGTCGATCAGTAAAAAAATAAACAAACCACAATAAATCAGGCAAGCAGAGCTGCATCCAATAATGGGCTGGAATAAGCTATTAAAAATAATTCAACAAGTTGAAAAGATTATTTTAATATTCTATTGATTATTTGATGATTAATCAGCTGAATAAATTTGGCATATTCTGGCAATTGGTTTTGTTTACCAACAAATATGCAAATAAATAGATAATTCAGTTTGGATTTATAGATGTACAATTCAAAATTTTCTTCAGGAAAAACTTATTTCAGAAAATCTTTTTATTTGCTGAAAGTGAAGCTGCTGCTCTGCAGTGGAAGTGCTGAAATCTTTGCTTCTCGCATTCAGTGTTTGCATCCTCATTGTTACATTTTAATTGGATGTTGCTGCAAACAAAGCTGCGTGCAACGCAAAAAATGTCATTTGCATTATGACACTGTTGCATGACCCCGGTGAGGATCCCACGGGGAATCCTTTCATCCGAACGAATGAAGCTAAAACCTGAAATTATTCATCTTCTGAGTGAACCTATTTGAGTTGTTTGTATTGGAGGAATGCGGTCCGGCTGCTCGGGACGTAACAGGAACCATGGGAAGCACAGACGGGGAAAATCCCTGCCATGAATCAGTCCTCTATAATGACGCTGAAAGAATATGTGGCAACACAAAGAGTCACACACACTGAACACAAAGACGGCTTGAAACAAAGAGGCTTTCTGAGCTGCGTCCTCCATGAAGGACGCCGCTGTACTCCTCAAATGTGTTTTTCTGTTTCTCTTAGAAGAGCAATGTGTGTGCATGAATTCAGAGGAAGGTTTCGGCAGCACACAGTTGTCAGGGACTCACTGTCTTTTTGTGTTTAAGTCCTGGAAGGAGGCCAAAACAAAATGTCAGTGTTTGCCATGTTAGGGTCTCTTCTCTCTCTCTTTCTTGGTAAAATGTACAAAATTGTTATCATCATGATGAGAAAGTAGAAATTTTAAACTTAGGGTGGCAACTACAAATTTATTTCAGTTATCGATTAATCTATCAACGATTTGTCAACGATTAATCGATGACTTGAATAAAGAATTGAAACAATCAAATTTTTCGGAACAATATTACAAAATACATTAAAATATGCAAATACAAAATAACTCAAATTCTTTTTAAAATAAGAAAATAAACATTTTATGACCTAAAAGGACATTTGTGGCAAAGGTGCATCTGCAGCTAAATAAATCTAATGTGAAAAACTCGTCCCTTCTGGCTTTACTTAAAGTCAATACAGCTATTGCCAGTTATTAATTGATGAATTTTGGGTTAACCAATTAATAATAATAATTCCTGGTATGTGTTAAGAAGCCCAGAAAGACTCTATCTTTATTTTAATTATTAAATCTTAACTAACATCCTCCTCCAGCAGCAATTTAAATGCTTGTGAAATTTAGAATCAGTTGAAAAAATGCCTCTGGGGCTCCTTGGAGGTCAAACTGAGGTCATGTAGATGTTTAACGTTGTGAGCGTTTGAAGCTGCCATCAGCGGAAACGTTGTGCTGACGGAGCTGCAAGCTGGCAGCTCTGCACCGTCATGATGACAACATCACAACAAGCTGAGCTCTGCTTTAACTTTGCATCGCCTCAGGCATGCACATGTTTCAGCATAATTTTAAAATTATTCATATCTTCTGCCTTTTGTGGCAAATTCCATGTATTTATTTCTGCTTTTTTTATATTCTAGATCATTTTTTGCACATAAAAATCTTGAAAACTGTCCATCCGCCCATCTTCATTATTCGCTGGATGTTGAATCTGCACCAATCTCAAGTAGGGCTCAAATGATTAATCATGATTAATTGACTATTTAAATAACTTTCAACTAATTTAGTTATCAAATAACTGCTAAATAGAGTATAAACTCTCTAAAACAGGCCATTTTCTGAAGGAACAACAAACTCAGAGCAGTAATTAAACTAAAACTGTACAATAAAACTATATACATTTGATTTAAAGATTAAAATCTTTTGTCTGTAAAGACGTGCACTAAAAGAATGTTCCATTTTTGCCTTTTAGGCAATAAAATATTTATTTTGTTGTGCAAAAATAATGTAACTATTTGATTTTCACATTCTGTTATTGATTTTTAATATTGTATAAAATACATTTATGTGGTTAAATAAAAAACCTGCAGAATGTCACAATTTCTTATCTGATTAATCGATTAATTGTCAGAATAATTGATAGAAAACTTGATTTCTAAACTACTTATTATCTGCAAATTTAGACAATATGATTTGTACTCTTCTTGCTTGAGGTCTGATACATTGTGCCAGATACATATGACATTTTTTATGCTATATTATTTATCCTAATGACATTAAAACCTGCAGCTTTACTCTAACTAACTGAATACGTTTATACATAAATAGGTGAAGTGAAATCATAAAGTGGTTAGTTTCTCCTCCTCGTCCACGGCTAGATTTTATTTCCTTGTCTATAAATGATCAATATTAGTCCAGTTGTTCTATTTATTTGTGGATTTTTCAGGCGATGGAGAGCAAGCTGCTGGTTGGAGGGAAGAACATCATCGATCACACCAACGAGCAGCAGAAGATGCTGGAGATGAAAAGGCAGGAGATCGCTGAGCAGGTCATTTTCCTTTTAGAGAAATGTTGTTTTTAACAGCTGCATGTTGCATATTAAAGTTATATATTTACTGGATTATATGATAAAATACTTTGGTTGTTTTGCAGACACGGAGGGAGCGGGAGATGCAGCAGCAGATGTTGATCCAGGATGAGGAGGCGGTGGAGCTGAGGGAGACTTTCACATCCCTGCAACAAGAAGTCGAGGCCAAGACCAAGAAACTCAAGAAGGTGACATTTTAAAGTGGACATTTTGTGCCTCATACAAATGATGTTACTTTTGAATGTTTCCTACTGTTCTCATCCATTGCAGACATGAATTAGATGAAATATTAACCATCCAAACCTCTCGTGTGAGCTTTGATAAAAATGAAACTAAGGAACCAGATTGGAGCATAAAGTAATGCAGAACTGCCCCTCCCCCACCTTTTGCTCATCAACTGCTATGGTGCCTGATTTGGCATTTGGGAAAACATTTCCAGTTGTTAAAAAAACAAAAAAAAAGGACTAAAAATTACAGTTGCTCCAACAAACTGCCAAAATAACCTGCCAGAGGAGGTAGTGTTTTTTTTATTTTAATCAATATTAAAGAATTATTGACTATTTCTTTCTGAAAGTTAGTTTTGTCTTAATTAAAATGTATTTAGATGTTTGCATTAGAAAAAACCCCAAAAATACTTGATAAGATTTTGTGTTTTTGCAGTGATGACCCGGTTGTTAAGCGACAGATATGAAAATCAAATAAAAACATATTGAAAAACCAAATGAAACGTTCCTGTAAAATGGTGGGCAGGATACCACCAAAGCAGACAGGAAACAAAATTACTAAACTATTTATTCATATTTTAGAGTGCAGAAAGAATAAATGGGTTTTTCTGCAAAGCATCACTTTGCTAAACAGCAGCAGCTCCTTGTTTTCAACCTGGAGTCAAATAGTGAACAGCATGTCGGCTCTGCGGTGGAGGAGGAAAGCAGAGGAACGAGAGCTCCCATTGGCTGGCCCGTTCGCTCCATGGCGGCGCTTCCACTGCAACCAGGCAGCAGCAAGCTGCAAATCCACTTGTCTGCGCCGCTGTCCTCTGCGTTGATCTCTGTTCCCGTTTCCTCCCAGCTGTACGCCAAGCTCCAGTGCACCAAGGCGGAGATCAAGGACGTGAACGACGAGCACGTGAGGAGCCGGCAGGAGCTGGAGCAAACGCAGAACGAGCTCACCAGAGAGCTCAAGTTCAAGTGAGTCCTGGCGGGTCTGTGAGCGCAGACCACACACCTCTGTGCAACGGCGTGTCCGGGCTCTTGGGGGGAAAATAGAGGACAAAGTTTACCAGAAAAAAACTTAGGAAATTTGAGATTAAAAACAGAAACTTTCTTGAAAAAATGAGGAAATTTCTGAGATTTAAAAGTCAACAATTTGCAGACAAATCTCAGAAATGTCCTCATTTTTTTCTAGGAAATGTCTAAGTTAGAAAAATTGACAAACATCATTATAAAAATTCAGAAATTTTGAGATTGATGTCAGAAATTTCTGAGGGAAAAAAATTGTAAATTTCCAAAGTCGAAAATATTTTAAAAAGTGGGAAATCTTCGACTTTTGAAATTGAGAAATCTCCAAGCTTTTTCTAGAAGATTTCTGACATTAATCTCAAAATTTTTGATTTTTTTCCCCCATCAAATATTTGACTGTTCCAACTCAGAAATTTCCAAGCTTTTTATCAAAAATTTCAGATATTAATGTAAAAAGTTTTGGCTTGCAAATTATCAGCTTTTCAAACTCAGAAATGTTTGGGGGCAGAAATTCAACCCTCATTTTCTCTTTTCTATCAATAATGGCCCTAATATGCCATTAAACATTTGAGCTCCAGTTTTAAAGGTTTTATAAACATTATGAGAAATTCCAATTCACTGGGAAAAGGAAACGTTTCCCCCCACAAGCACGGTTGTTAATATACATATTTTGCTGCGACAGCCACATTTAATTGGACCGGTGCTGTACTGTGTGTTGTGGACACTCAGGTATCTGATCATAGAGAACTTCATTCCTCCAGAGGAGAAGAATAAAATCATGAACAGGTTGATGTTTGACCCAGAGGAGGATGAGTGGAAGTTCAAGCCTCTTGTTCCAGATGAAAGGTTGGTTCTTTTCATCCTCTGAATCAGAAATATAGCACAGTTTTAATCCTAAATGAATTTTTTTTTGTTTCATTGATTGTTACTATGCGTTTGTACAGTAAATCCTCACAGATGAAGAAAAGACCGGCGTCTGCAGTCGGATACAAGCGACCAATCAGCCAATACGCCCGGGTAGCGCTGTCGATGGGAACTCACTCCAGATACAGGGTAGAGTTACCTATAAAGTTACTTTTTATACCTAAAATGGCCCAAAAATGAAATGCACAGGTGATTAATCACACAACCAATCAATAAAAAGAAGGCCATCTAATATTAATCTGCTGGAAACTAAAAGTGAAAGCAGGGGTAATAGGAGTGGTGGTGATTCGTTCTGCTCACATCCACCAATGTGCGTTTGCATGAACATTTCCATGCAGGCTGAGAACATCATGTTGCTGGAGCTGGACATGACTCCTCCAAACACCTCAGCTCTGACGGACGGGGAGCAGAACCAGAGTCCTACCCTGAACAACTCTCCCACCCACGACAAGGGAATCTGCAAGTCTCGCTCTTGGTGAGCCCGAATCTTTTACCGCTGGCCAACAACGCTTCCACCACACCCAGCCCAACTTCACTTAAATTAAACAGAATTTAATAAAAAGATAGAAAAAAGTTTTCAGCAACTACCGTATATTGCTGGGTGGAGGAGTCTAAAAAACATACAAATTTCACATGTTGCACATATATCTAGTCTATTTTGTTCTCTGCTGCTTCTAGAAGAAGTCCAAGCGATTAAAAATAAAACCCACAGCTGCTTTCTGACAGTAAGTTAATGTTTTTTAGTGACTGGAATACGAGCTGCTTCAAAAACATCCAAATTATTTAGTCAGAACCGGAGCGCTCTGCCCCGTTACCTAGCAACCCCGGTGGAACTCTGCCCCGTTACCTAGCAACCCCGGTGGAACTCAGCCCCGTTACCTAGCAACCCCGGTGGAACTCAGCCCCGTTACCTAGCAACCCGGTGGAACTCTGCCCCGTTACCTAGCAACCCCGGTGGAACTCAGCCCCGTTACCTAGCAACCCCGGTGGAACTCAGCCCCGTTACCTAGCAACCAAGAGACTAAAATGTTATTATCTGAGAATCATTTAGAGCTACAATAACTAATAGATATGTCTCATCTAGGTAACCTTTAATTGAAGCCATCCAGGCTTTAATGTCATTTTAGACTCTGAGTCTTTTTTGTTGTTGTTTTAATGAGCATAAATCTGACAATCATCTGCATAAAAGGGAAATGCATCAATGCTCTCGTCTTATGTATTCACGTTTACAGACGTGAGGCAGGTTTCCCACTAAGAGTCTGAAAAAATACATGTTAGTAGAGAAATATGAAGAATTCCATTTATTAAAAAAAACAAAACAAAGAAAACGGTGGCATGTCTCAAACTGCTGCCTCTTTTATTTAAGCCACATTTAAACCCGTTTTAAGATTTGTAGGCTTAATTATTTTTAAATTTCTAACAAGTTTGCTTTAGATTATTCTGTTACTTTCAAATAATAACTAATTTTTTTTTGTTCTACCTTTTGCTTCAGTGGTTTTGCAGGTATTGCTTATATCATATTACATTTATGTCCTAAAAGGAAAACCTGCATTCAGGCTGACATCTGAGTCCTAAACGGTTTAGAGTCAATACATCTCTAAATGGGATTATCCAGGATTAGCCACACCCTCCTCCAGATATCTTAATCTCCTGGTTTTATCTCTCATTTACCATTTAATCTCAGTGTCGCTGGTTAATCTTTACAATCTGTCTGTAAATTTCAAATTAAAAAAGCAGATTTTAATTAATTTTTTGTGCTTTTTTTTCAGGTACCAGAGCCAAAAATCCATCACTTCTTCTTCTTCTAATAATTCCTTGGCTGGCTGTCAGATGGCCGCGCCCGCAGCCGCAATGTAAAGCTTTGTTACAAATAGTTTTTTTTAATTATTATTATTTATTTGATTTCTTCACTTGTTTTGGCCCGTTTGCGGTTTTAAAGACCTTCGGTTGACGCCGGGACACAAACACACACCATCACCTCTGCTGCCTCCAAAGAAGGCATAAAACAGGAAGCTAACAGACCGGATGAACCTCAGAGACTCCGTGAGACTTCACTCCTGCAGCTCGTTTAGGATCAGACTGTCCCTTTCTTATGCATGTTTCCATCAAAGATGTTTTTATTATTGACATTTTCAAAGAGAAAAAACAGAAAAATGGAAGAGACAAGATTAAGATCTCAGTAAAATACTGAGATATCTATACATATTTCATCTATTCAGGGGATTTCTAGGTTAGCTTTGGTCTGTTTTATGTGTAAAGGGAAGACTTTAACAATTAGGAACATTTTGTCTGTGTTGGCTTTTGGATGTGACTGCAGTAAAAATAATAATAATGATGTTGTTGGTCAGATGTGGTCCTGAAACCTGAATGATGACCTTTATCATCCCTGTCCATTCCTCTGTCTTTCTGTGTCTAATTTGACTCAAATGTCTTGAAAAAATATATAATTAAAGTGCAGAATGTGATGCTTGTCGGACTTAATTACTGCATTTTTTGAAATTCAGAGCAGAAAAATAGGGTTTTTAATTATGAGTTCCACTTTTGTGAGTTTAAAAGCAATAGAAATGTCATTAAATAAAATAAGGGAAATCCTCTTTCATGGGAGGAAGTTTAAAGAAATAGCAAAATGCATATTTTAAGGTGCAAAAATGGTCATTTATTTATCTAATTTATATTGAGTTGGTCACAAAAGTAACTTAAAAAAATACTGACTAAAAGACCAAGCTATAGTTTGCTTTTTGTAGTCTTTATGTGCAAATATTGCCATTTTTTCAACTTGCACCTCGTTTTGGCTTTTGTCAGGTTTGGCAAAAGCTTAAGAACCTCAATGAAAAATGTTCAGACTCATCAGTAATTGAAGGAGGCAGTGGGGGAAAATGCAGAATGAAGGTCAGAATGAAAGACACTGAAGAATACCGGAAGGGCTAATCAAAGGTAAGTAGAGGCAGCTGGCAAAGAGAAATGAAGGGAGAAGAAATAATGGTGAAAGAGAGAACATAGCATTACAAGGAGAAAATCTAGAGTAAACAAAAGGACACTAATCTAATGAGTTCAATCTAAATGTATAAATGCAAGAGCAGAAAAGATCTAGCATAGAGGCTCGGTTAAAACCGGATCTAAGAAGACAAGAAATGATCAAAACCAAGAACCCAAATGAAACAAAAAGTCTAAAATCCTTTAAAACATGACAGTCACTTGCCAGTTGCACTTTTTAAATAGTTAAAATAAAGAAATTACACATAGGACCATAAAGCTTAAGGTTGGAATGAAGTTAAATGTGGATCATCAGTGAAGAAAAACGGAGACCTAGAAAACTGGCACATCACCCAGAGATTTAAAAGTACTCTGTGGTTTCTGATACACGCAAGTTAGAACAGAGATGAGTGACGATGATTTTAATTCCAAAAACTGATCATGTTTGCATTTTCACCAAATGTGTTCGGCATTTTCTCATTGCAGATGTTGCCCCTGAATGCTTGGGTCAGAAACCCTGGGCTTCTTTTCAGGCTTTAATGTCCACAGAAAAAACTGTCTCCAAAACATGTATCCTATAAATAATTATTAGGACACTAATCAATTAAACTAACAAGACTCCAACGTTTAGGCCTTTGTGTATGACAGACACATTAAAAACAACTCAAATTTGATCTCCCCCTTTTTAGACCAATCCAAAAAGACGGATTCAAATGGATTACTGACCTTCAAAACAATTTGGACACATTAGAAATAGGCAGTTAAAGAAGGCCAGCTTCCTCAGTTACCGTCTCTCGTCTAGCATCATGCAGCCGAATCATGTCCAAACCAATAACCTCGACATGAAGCAGACATTTTCTCTGCCTGCAAGGAGTTCTGGCTGCAGCTAGAAATGCGACTCTTATCTCTGCGTCCCAGAGCTTCTGTGGTTCATGCAGTAAATTAAAGCTCGCCTGTTAAATTGACCTAATTTGATGTGAAACTCTGACTACAGGAAGTGATGCGGATCAGAATAACCAGCTTGTTTGTTCTGACAGCAGTGCTGCAGCTAACAATTACTTTAGTTATCAATCTATCAATTATTTCTTACAATTAATTGCTTAATTGGGTAAAGAAGTATGCAGCTTTTTAATTTAAGCCTTTTTTGTACATTAGAAATACATTTAAAAATGAAAAAAACGAATTGTCTTCTTTAAATAATAAAATAAAATACCATAACTTTCTAATCTGCAGCTAAAGCTGTACCAGTTGAGGAGTTTCAGCTAAAACATATTAATAGACAAAGGTGTTTTTTTTTAATCTTACATGTATATATTTTACAGTTTTAGCTTACTTGCTACTTTATTAAATGTTAATTTTGCTACCAAATCACCTGTTTTTGAGTCTGTATGCTCCAGTTGACGATTTATCAGTGACTAAAACAGTTGAGTATTATTTCAGTAAACAATTAATCACGATTAATGCAATTAATCATTTCAACTAATTGAAACGATTAATCATCTTTGTGTAGTGACTCAAATATACTCACAAAAATGTGTAAAATGTATTACATTCATATGTCTTTCTTTACAATAATAAACTTCAAGATTAAAACTCTTTAATTGCAAAGAAACAAGATCACACTGTAATTTATTTTGTACAGTTATGGCTTAATTAATGCACTAAACATGTTGTTTTTCACTAAATGGCCTTTCTTGAGTCTTTCTACTTCTGTTAACGATTATTTTATTACTAAATTAGTTGAAAAAAGAATTCAGGAATTGATTAATATGATTTGTTCTTTCATCCTCGTCTGCTGATGACGGGGTCAATGGGTTCTTCAGTTAAAGGCGAACAAACCAAGCGGGGTCAGGCTGACTAATCGCCGCTGTTTTATTAATGCAGCAGATCTGGTTGCAGCTCAACAACATGAGGAGTTTAGCAGCGTTTAGTCGTAGAGAAAGGAGAAGTTTTGTTTCTATTTTCTGACACATCACACAAACCTACGATTTCTTTTAAAAATAGAGCAGAAATGTTGATGTTCTTGCACTCCTAGTTCCTGGTTATCTGCACAATGCACATTTTCGAGAGTTTTAAGTCTGCTAACCTAATTTTTCTCTCTGGGCTTTCATCAATATGTCTGCATTGTTGACTCGGTTTGTTTGATTGAACACATTTTCAAAGCTCCATTAGTAGCTGGAGCTAAAATAATTTAACTCAAGGGTGCTCAATGTAGGGTTCAGGGGCCATTTTTGGACCCTGGATTGATTTTATGCCCCAATTCTGTATTAAACAACGACAAAACTATGAATTGTAAATTAAAATATAATTACAAAAATGTTAGATGCAACACAAAACTATCATCTTTTCCAAACTTTCTAGTTTCCTTCTACTGTCATGGTAAATTGGACCAAATTTACTTACACTCTAAAGTAAGTCTTCCTATTGCACTTGAATCTGCTTTTACTTCCTGTATTAAAACTCGGCAAAATACATCAAGTATTTGCAAAGGTAAATATTTTTCCATTTGTATTGTAATTTTGTGATTTTTTTTCTCATAATTTTGACATCCTACCCCAAATTACTACATATTACTGTAATTATGAGATAAGATGCTTATGGGTTTTTTTCCCATTTTTTTTGAGTGCAATGCACTTCGGTAGATTTTACAGAAGTGATAAAAATTATATTTCTTGGCCCTTGAGTTCTTTTGAGCTGACAATTTTGGCCCAGTTGAGTAAATATTTGGACTTTAACTGAAATGTTGTCTTTCAATGACATGGGAACATTTATTTTAGATGCTGATATTGTATATTATTTATTATCTAAGGTTGAAAAGGGAGAGAAAATCCTCATTTAGTGATTTCTGTTTGTATTTTAACCTGCTCTGTAATGCAGCAACATTACTCATTTGTATTCCTTCCACATATACATAAATTATGAGATGAATTTTATGCCAGCCTGCAGCATAAGGAGCACCAGGGTTGTTTTGCATGGTCAGAAATCAATGAAAACAAAACAAAACATATTTTCAACACATAAACACCACCTCAATCTGCTCCACTTCATGGTGACTGTTGGGAAATGTTCCTCAAATGTGTTTTCAGGTTGTAGGGGAGCAGAGGAGGACGGCGCTGGAGGATGGAGAGGGGGATGGATAGATGTGGGGATTCAAAGACAATCAGGAAGTGAGGGACTAACGGCGGAGGAGGTGGATGCTGAGCCTGTTTCCATGGTAACCAGCAGGGTGCTGGAACGTGGATGGGATGATGTGGGGGTTTGTGTGTCAATATCTGTGTGCGACATGGTTCACTGGTGCTCATGTTTTCCTGGCAGATCATTTTATTTCAGCTGACTGTGGGTTTATTTGCTCTTTTTAACATGTCAGAAAGCAAAACAATTTAAATCCATTTTCTAGGATCCACTTATCAACACTTAAGATGAAGTTTATGCATTAACTAATGGATAAAATCAGCAAAAAAGATAATGCAACATAAACATTAGACTGAAGCACTGCGCCTGCAGGGAACTAAGGAAACCTTTAAAATTTATCCTTTTCAGACTTTATTAGGTTATTTTTGCTGTTTGTTTAATTTCTTATTTCCCTTTTTATTTTATTTTAAATTTAGTCTTTTTTATTTCTAAATCGCTTTATTAATATCTGCAAGCATTAACATGCATTCTACATATTCAAAGGAAGTAAAAGAAACATTTTAGGTTTTAAAATCATTTAATTAGTAAATATTCTATTTCTATAAATGCTAATTGTCTTCTTGGAGATCTGATAACTCTCATATTTCTATTCATAATGAAACATTTTTTTCTTTCTTTAAAGGTGTATTAAACCTCAACTTATATGAAAAGCTGATTTTATCTGATGCTCACTGAAACAGATTCTACCAAAGATAAGAAAGTAACTGGGCCTCTAGCTCCCCCTACTGGCCATATGATGTAAATACATTTAAACATTTCGTGGCTCGCACATTTTACCCAGAACGGAAATAATTTTGCTATATTTTAAATTCCAGAACTCCAACAATAATTAAAACAGACTATTTTAAGTATTTACCTGCTAATATTTCTTCTGTTTTTGTTTATTTTGTGACGCTTACATAAAGTATGGGGGGAAACCAGACCTACAGAAGTTAAGTATTGTATGTAAAATACATTTTTGCACAGTAAAAGAGGGTGAGAGTAGTCCTTCAACATGTTTTTACTTTTGAGGAGCATCTGGGGAGTAATTTGGATATCCAACAATCTGTTTTGCAGATTTTATAATTCTCTAAAGTGAACGCCTGTTTGCAGCAGTGCAGCTGGAAACAGGGTCACATGGCAATGATTAAGGAACAGCAGTTTTATAAATTGGATAAAAAGCGGCAAAACCAACAATTTTTCTTAAACATAGAAATACAAAAGCAGATTTTAGCAGTTTGGGAGTTTTTGTTGTTGTTGCATTGAATAAATCTTACGTTTCCACAACACAATGAAGAAAATACCAGTGATATTTATTAAT